ATACTTAAAAATCATTTTTATTATATTTTTGTCATGTTTTCCTTAGTTTCTGGCAATTTTTTACATTATACATGTTGATGTCATGTTATTTGATACATAAAAGATAACGGCTACTAAATATCAATTATAAATTATACACCTTTTTCTAATTTAATTCTTTTTTCTCGAATTTTACTTTATCTAAAATAATAACTATGGTTTCTACCTGCATTTAGTTTGCATTTGCCTTAGATTTCTTTGTCCATCTTTTTACTGTTCCACATCACTTTTATGTTTCTCAAGGTTTTGAGTGTCACAGATTGCATTTTAAATTCTACTTATGATTTCCTCTAAGATTTTTAGAAGCATTCTTTAAGCTGCAATTCTCTCTTTGACAATGACGGGATTTAAGTAGGGAAATTTTCTCTTCTTATTGACTATGAGGAATTTAAAAAAACATTTGCTCCTTCCTGTTCCTTTTTTTTTTAATTTAAGTGTAGTTATTTACAATATTGTGTTAGTTTTTGGTGTACAGCAGTGATTCAGTTATATACATATATGTATATTTCAGGTTCTCTTCCATTATAGGTTATTACAAGATATTAAATATAGTTCCCTGTGCTATATAATAAATTCTTGTTGCTTATCTGTTTAGTGTATAATAGGCTGTATCTGTTAATTCCAAACTCTAATTTATCCCTCTTCTGTCCCCTTCCCCTTTGGTAACTGTAAGTTTGTTTTCTATGTCTGAGTCTGTTTCTGTTATGCATACAGATTCACTTTTATTATTTTTTAGATACCACATAGAAGTGATATCATATATTTGTCTTTCTCTGACTTACTTCATATGATATTCTCCAGATCAATCAATGTTGCTGCAGATGGCATTATTTCATTCTTTATGGCTGAGTAGTATTCCCATGTAGTGTGTGTGTGTGTGTGTGTGTGTGTGTGTGTGTGTGTGTGTGTGTGTGTGTGTGTATACCACATCTTCTTTATCCAATTACCTGTTGATGGACACTTAGGTTGCTTCCATGTCTTGGCTGTTGTAAATAGTAGTGCTATGACATTGGGGTGCATGTATCTTTTCAAATTAGAGTTTTCTTTGGCTATACCCCAGGCATGAGATTGCTGGATCATATGAGAACGCTAGTTTTAGTTTTTCGAGGAATCTCCATACTATTTTCCATGGTGGCTACACTGTTCTTGATGGAGCTCTTGATACCCTATAATTCTGGGTGGATCCTGAATGTAGCCATGGTCCTCATTTTCACACAAGCAGATGTTTCTTATTAACCTATGAGCTGGAAGGGGACAGGAAGTTAGGATATTTAGCATCATGGTTTCTCATTCCAGGGAGAGCTATCAGTCTCATGTCTCTCACTGCCAGCTCTGGTTCTGCCAAAGGAAGTGGGACACAAGAAGGGACAAGAACATGAGGTCTGGGGTCTCTCTGCCAACGTTTGCACCCTGATTTCACCACTAACTAGCTGAGAGGCCTTGGGTGATTTACTTAACATATTCAGCTTTCTCACCTGAACAAAAAAAAAAAAAAGATGACAACAGCAGAATTCCACATGCCAAAGGGTAGTTTTGAGAATTAAATTACATAGTCCATTTTCCTGGCACATACTAAGTGCTCATGAAATTTAGCTGCTATTATTATCTTTATCATCAGCAGCATTATCCGTGAAAGGGGACGGTGAACTTTAAGGATCATTTCTACCGAAGCTCCACAAAGTGGCAAAATAATGGTTGCTCTCTCCTTCCCCTAGAATTTTCTGCTCACAGTTTTTCCGCAGACCAAACACATGCTGGCCTGTAAATGGAATAATCATAGATCTATTAATGAAGGGTGGATTTACTATTACGGAGCAGTAACAGAGATTTTCTTCGGTTGATTCATTCCTTTTATAACATAAGGGGCAAGTTCTCACCACCTCCGGAAAGAAGGTATTTTGCAGAGCCCTCTTCTTGAAACTCTGTAGCTCTTCTCTCTACCTCTTCTGCAGCCCTCTCTGAAGTCCCCACCTTTCCTATTCCCATTTCATTTTTCTTGGAAAACTCCACCTTGTTCCAAGGGAGACAGAAGCCGTCGCCTCCAGGATCGTCAAACATCACCTGGATGCTAGTGGGCCTCCTCTGCTCACACTTGGCCAATTTCAAAGCGGGGAGGAGGCCTGGCCTATCGGTGCAGAAGATGGTGAGTTCTCCTCTTCTGGGTTATTTCCCCTCCAAAAATAGCTATGGCTGATTCAGTCTCATGAGTTCGCTAAGCAGAGGCATATTTCATCATCTAGCTCAGGGGGCAGCCAATTTTTTAATTAAAAAAAATCATATATTGAGTTGTTATATCTACTAGGATCTGGGCTAATTCTCCTTTTCTATGCATTTCTGTCAAATCTTGGGTGTACCACTCTGATTTTATTCCCATCGGTTGTTTTTTTAATTGAAGTATAGTTGATTTACAATGTTATGCTAGTTTCTGGTGCACAGCCTAGTGATTCAGTCATGCATATATATTCTTTTTGTATTCTTTTTCATTGTAGGTTATTGCAAGCTATTGAATATTGTTCCCTGTGCTCCGCAGTAGGATCTTCTTATTTATCTATTCTGTATATAGTTGCTTGTATCTGATAATCCCAAACTCCTAATTGATCCCTCCCCACTTTCCCCTCTGTCCTGTGGTTTTATAATATATTTTAGAAGATAACAGAGCTAGTTTCTCCTTCAGTGCTTTTCTCAAAATTGTTTAGCTATTTGTGGCAGAATTTCAGGTCGATTCCTGCCATACCCACCCAAATCCCCCTTCTCTGGGTCTTTAGAGGCTGGAGAAGCTGAACACTCAAGCTCCCAACCTCCTTTGTTGCCCCAGGTGGACAGAGGATATAGTTCTAGCCAACTAGGCTGAAGTGAGGTCTACTGAGGGAATTTCTGGGAAAGGTTTTATTTTATTGATAAATGATTCAGTTAGGGCTGTGTCTCCTTTCTCGCTCTTCCTGTCTTGAAAGCAGGTATGTGGCAGCCATCTTGAACTTGAGAATCATTTTGTCAAGTTAAAAAAAAAAGTCGAGTCAATTAAGCTAGGGGGCTTTATACAGCTCTGTGGAAAGAAAAGGCTGTGTTATAAAATGTCCTTTCTCTAGGGCTGTGGGGAGAATTAGGCAAATCTTGGCCTACGTCCTGAGAGTGAGATTCATTAATTCATCCATTTAATAAGGCTTGGCTGAGTCTTTCCTGTATAATATGTGTGGGCATAAAAAAGGCCTTGTCATCAAAGGTCGATGGGTGCACAGAAAGGGAGCAAGAAATCAACCTGGATGACAGTTTGCACTTGAGCGAAGGACCTTCAAGCAGAAGCCTCCCTCCTGACAGTTCAGAAGAGCAATTTCCCAACAAACTGCTTGCATTTCCTGGGCTTGGGTTTCCCCCGGTCTCTACCCTCCGAGGATGACTTCTCCTATCTCAAGTTGCCTTGGGTAGAGAACATTCTTTTCCAGTAAGCCTGGTCATCTTCCTGGGGAGCAAGTGGCTGTAGGAACCATGATTGAAGCCAGTTCTGCTCCCACAGGGCCCAGAGATAGGCCAAGGGTACAACCATGACACGAACGGCAGGCACTGCTGAGTGCGCAATCTGAGATGAGGAGGGAAAGAGGCCTCTTTAGACTAGGGGACTGGAGACGATTTCAGGACCAGAAGAGGCATTTGACCTCTCATTCTTGGAATTACAGCTGAAGTTCCACAGACCTTAAGCAATTCACCCAAGGTAGAAACAAAAACTTGTGGGGAAAGTAGAGACTGGCTCGTGCTTGTTCTTTATACCACAGATATGCTAGGACTTCCTGGAGTGGGCAGCTGGTGAGACCACTGGTTGGCCAAAGCGATTGCTAAGTCGTTTCCAAACCAAGACCTTGAGTCATCTTCAGTGGAGCCTGGTGCCCTGAGAAAGGCCAAATCACATACTTCTCCTCTTTGTCACTAGAACCCTGACCTCCCTTCAGTTTTCTGAGGGAACTCAAGACCAGTACCTACTGAGGTGTGGAAGGGCAGCCTGATTGCTTAAGCCTGGAATGTTGAGACCTAAACTTGCTCCTGGGCTGGAAAGCTCTGGTCCTAGGCAGCATATTTGATTAAGGTATTTGTCTTTGTTTTCTTTGTACACAACTCGGCATTCCAGCAGGTAGCCAAGTCTTTGTGCTTCCTTGCCAGGGGGCCTAAAGAAGAATAAGTCTGCACGCCACCTCCCTTCCTGACTTTCTCCCTTTAGCTGAGGGATTTGAGCATTCTGCACCAGGAAGGGAGCTCTAGAGTGGCTTTGAGGGGAAGAGTTCTGAGCAGTGAAAGAGCAAATGTTTTTCCCCAAGAAAAGGAATGGATGTCTGCATTGTTTTTAAGTAATTGGGTTCTGTGGCCCATCCTCCACAGAACCTCAAGAAGATGACAATTCCATGTTAAGTCTAGGAAGGTCTTCCTGGACTCAGGGTACCAAGGCTCTCAGCCTTGGCAAAGATTTCCATGGGGCAACAGGGTCACCCAACTTTAAGGATCTATGTAAGCTTGGCCTTCAGGAATCTTGGAAAGCATGTAGAGAAGGGGTTGGCGCATAGGTCAAAGCTGGCCTGCCATCTATTTTTGTATAATCTGTGAGCTAGGAATAATTTTTGTATTTTTAAATATTTGAAAACTATCAAAAGAAAAATAATATTTTATGGCATATAAAAATGATGTGAAATTCAAATTTGTGTCCATAAATAAAGTCTTACTGGAACATAACCAACCTCATGCATTTACCTAATGTCTATGGCTATTTTCAGGCAACAATGGCAGAGTTGAGTACTTGTGACAGAGTCCTCTCTGGCCTGTGATGTCTGAAATATTTACTCTCTGGTCCTTTACAGAAAAACTTCGCTGACCCCTGATGCACACCAATGGCCGGAGACGCTCTTGGATGTTTTGCTTCACATCATGACTCCTGATCATGAGGTGTGGGAGTGGGGATGGGGGTGGGAGGGGAGGGAAGAGACCTCTCTCAGTCTCTGAAAGTAAATTTCCTACCAGCTGAATGCAGTGGGGCCATGTCATCCCTGTGACTAAATGTAAAGTAGGTAAACAGTGTGCTCTTTCTTGCACATTCAGATTTGTGTTAACAAACATCTCCTAGGCCTTTCTGGCTTTTGTTTCACTGCTTCTGTTTTGGAAATAACACTCATAGGTCTCTTCCCTCTCTGCATATCCAAATCCTACCATCAGAGCTCAACTTAAATGTTTACCTTCCTCTCCGTCCCTGGAAGTCCAACTTTGTTTTTTCAACTGGCGGGTCCACCTAGCAAGATTTTTCAGAATAAACATGCTTTCAGTTATCCTCCTTGCTTTTCCTCAGACAGCCGGACCGTTTCTCCCAAATTAAAGTTCTGATGTGATTTCTCCATCCTGTAAATCCCCACCGGACTCTAATACACACGATCACATTGTGGTGATTTGTGTAAGTTTCTTATGAGTTTCCTGAGTGCGGGGACTGAGTGTAAGGCAGCTAAGCCCTACCGGACAAGAATCGGCTCCACCAGGTCCGAATTCTGGCGTCTCCACTAGCCACGTGACCACGGACATATCATTAACATCAATGGGCCTCAGCTGCATCATCCGAAAAATTCCAGTAATACTCCGTGCCCCCTGAGATGTGAGGATTAAATGAGATAGTGCCTTGAAAGTGCTTTTTAGGAATCAGTCATTCCAGTGCCCTTTGCAGTCCTGTCCAGAGTTTGGAGCCCCCAAAATTCCTGAAACCCTCTCTGTGGCAGTCACACTAGAGGTGAGATAAGACCCTGGCTTTGGAAATAAGCACTTCACCCCAGCAGTTCCTCCTTCTCCTGAGGGTTGTGACTAGTCCTGAGAACCAGTAGCAGTCCCCGGACCCCCGTCTTGGTCCTCACAATCATATCACTGCCACGTGACCATAGCTGTGGTGGGACCACCCAGGAGGATAGGAGGGGAAAGTCTGAATCGCATCCGGCAGCGCTGTAAACGCCAGGGTGAGGTGGAGCCTGGAGAGGCTCCAAGCCGAGGCGGATGAGCAGAGCTGACAAATGCTTCAGCTGGTGCTGCCTCCCCTCAGCCCTTCCTGAACGCCCCAGCCTCCGGCGTTCAGTCCCCAGTGCCACGGCTGATAAGGTGACTTTATGAGAGGAGATGTGACAATTCCCTCTCTGCTCCTGCTTGGCCCTGGCTTTCGTGTAATCTCATTAGAAATGGTGCCAACTCTCCTGGAGAGGCTGAACACATCTCAGGATGTACGTCTTGCTGAGACAGGATAATTTAGGATTTAAAATCCTCCAGATTTGTTTATTTTAAATAACTGAGATACTGTTTGTACTTCCCGCCTGTGAAATATGCTCTGCGCACTTAAAAACCGAGTCCCTCTGCCAAGTTTATGATCGGCCTCTCTCTCCATAACGTTATTCCCTTTCTGGTCCGACACCTGTTCCTTTCAAAATTGAGGTGTAGCAAAGAAAAGGGGAGACTGAAATCGAGCAGGACCTTGCGGGCCCCCTCCTGGGTACAAAAGCCTTTCCATGTCCTCCGTTTCTTGTTTCTAGGAGAAAGGATTTCAGCCTTCTAGACCATTCCTAAGTTCCAAAGGGCAGAATCAAACAGTTACTGATTAGAGGAGAGAATGCAGAAACCGAGGGAAGGCAGTCAAGAAACAACAGTGCAGCGATAGGTCAGGGTGCTGGTTCCTCCTCAAAGGATGTACATAATCTGGTGCGTATCTCTGAGTTCTTCTGCAGGAACTGAGGCCCCGCCCAGGTGGAGAATGGTAGCTTCAGGCTGAGCACAAGCACGCGGACCCCAGACTGGTTGGAACCAGAAGACTGATGATTGAGATTCCTGGGATACCACCCTGCTACCACCCCACCAACGAATCAGAGGAAGGTCACACACCCTGCAGCCCCCCTTCCCCTGCCCCCCAGTTTTGCCTATAAAGACTCTTTTCCTGAAAACCATCAGGGAGTTCAGGCTTTTCTGAGCTCGAGCCATCCGTTCTCCTTGCTTGGCACCTGCAGTAAAGCTTGCTCTGCTCCAAAATTTGGCATTTCAGTTTGTTTGGCCTCACTGTGCATCGGGCCCACGAACTTGGGTTCGCCAAGACACTTGCTTTGATCACTTCCTTTGTTGGCTCAGTTGGTCCAACTCTGTGAGCCTGCTCCACCTGAGGGCTGTTCCCTCCAGCAGACGGGGTGGGAATCCGAGTTTGTGAGTCAGGAATCTGGTTTCCTGGCTCCTGCTTTAATCCCTCTTTTCCACTCATTACTGTCCCTTTACACAAAGTGAGGCTCTCACAGAGAGGCTTTGTCTGCCTGCAGGACAGCTGGGAGGGAGCCCCCGGGGGTGGGCTGGCGGGGGTGCGTTGACAGGAGCCAGGCTGGCTCTGCACCAGTTGCTTGTCTAAGGCCACTATGGGAAGTCCTTTCGACTTGAGGACAGGCCAGTCCTGGGAGGAGCCTTCCACCTGCCATTTTCTGCTCCCCCATAGTCCCAGTCAGGGGTCTCCCTGCTTCCAGAGATACTTGGCAGACTGTGTGCCTGGTCTTCGCCCCAGACTCTCATGGCGGGGGCAGACCCACCCTTGGAGGCTCTGTGTCCTGGCTCCATCCTCTGCCTTCAGAGGGACCACAGTGCATGGTTATCCTGTCTCCTGCACCTTAAATCTCTCCTCTCTGGGAGACTCCCATCAACATGAAAACATGCTCTTCTCTTCCATGCCCTCAAACAAAGACAAAACCCCTAAAACAACCCTCCTTAGACCCCACGCTCCTCTTTAGATGCAGTTTGCTGTCTCTTCTCTCCTTTACAGCCAAAGTTCCTTTTTTTT